TATGATAAGGAGTGTTCCGGGCGCATGTGTGAAGCCGGTGATGCAGCTTCTTTTATATGTGAGAGTTTTACTTCGGCGTTTTCTGAAAGAATTCGTCGTGGATTTGTTTGACTGTGTTGTGTGCGCGTTTATGGTTATTTGTGGCATTGGCACACGATTTTATTGACGCGTGAGGGAGACAGATTGTTTATGTAGTTTTTCCTTTATGTTGTGAGGAGAAAAGATTAAGATGCTGGAAATAGTGTATGGTCTTGAGATCATGAGAAATGAATTATATTTTGGGAATTATTGTTCATGAATGTGGTGATATGTTGGATGGTAATTGGGTTGAAGATAGGAGAAGAGTGAATTTTATTTAAAAATATCAATGAATCGGTGTGTGGATTCAGTTTCTTTGAGTAGGAATTTTCTTTCTAAAGACGGCAGTTTTGTGGAAGGTCTATTATATTTGAACCCCAATAGAAGGAGGAGTGATAGAGACTGGAAAATTTTGACAAATTTAATAGAAAAGCAGGAAAAATTCTTTTGTATCCCATGGTTTCAGGCATATCATAATGTTTCTTTTAATTTATATTGACGTTTAAATATATTTTATGCTGCAGTGCCGAAAGTTGCGATCTATGTGAAGATATTGAAAATATTGTTGATCTTAAATTAATTTATGATTTAAGTACAGTGTTGAAATTTAGTATTTGAAAAAGTTAGGATGGAAGTGTTTATTGGAAAGAAAAAAGTTGAAGCTTAGCATTATCTATCGTGACAGTTATAGGTTGATGTGGAACTCTGTGATGATTTAGTAAATGATAAGCTACTTCATGGATGAGAATATTGTTGAGTATTTTGATTGATGCCATTTTCCTACATATAGATGGATTGTAATGATCGTGAAGTTGGAGGAGTATTAATGGATTTGTATCGTAGAGCTATTTTCTTTTATAGTGAAGTCATTCGTGCATAGAATAATTTTAATCAAAATCATTCTGTCACAACTAAAACAAGTGATAATAGTTAAAATTCAGTTTTGATTTGGTTTCTTTTTTAAACTATAATTAAATGAGTTAATATTGATAAGCAACCCTTGATATGAATCGTATGCGCACGGAGACATAATCAAGCAAGCGTAATGAAATACTTTTTAGAGTTTAAACACATGTATTAAAAATAATCATTCCATTAGTTAACTCTCTTCCCTTCATAGCAATCGAAATTGCTATTTAAAGAGATGTTTTAGAAAATGCAGAACATGTGATATCAAAAAATTCTTTACACGATATGCGCATGGAACTTCCTAAGCTATCGATCCGTGAGACAAAAGGTTTTGTATCCTTGCTTTATTTTTAAGATACACGGCTGACAAAATTAATGATTGTAAAATGATTAAAAAAGGATCTCTTTTTTGTAAACTGTCTGTTTTTTTACGTGCGAGGAATAGTTACCTTGATGACGTGCTGCTCGATAAATATCGATTAGAATTGCTCGAATTGAATAAAATGAGTTTAAAAATATTTACACAAATTATTTGAAGAAGAGGTTATACAACATAAAATGACAACTCCAATTGTAATTGGGTGGTAATGACATGAAGAAAGATGTAAAAATCCTTGCCCAAACGTAATATTTGTTAATATTTATACATGGAGAAGTAAAGGGGTTGCTGTTGTTGATATATATGAGCGTTATATGTTATTATGTGAATGTTTGACGTAGGCATGATTGTGAGTATCGGTATCGCAAAAGTAAAGGCTTCGACTATATCTACATTCAAACATAAATTCTTGTAACATTTCTGATACTCCAAGTTGAAAAAGTCTGAATCAATAATTAATTTTACCATTGACTTGATCATTGCTTTATTTCGAGAAAAATAGACTTCATATACCTAGAAACTTGTTTTGGAGAGAAATGTGGTGTAAAAGAAAAAAAAATCCTGCCATGTATCGTGTTTTTTGGTTTATTCACATTGTTAAATTAAAAAAAAAACAAACTGTATTTTTGCGAACTTCACAAATTATCAGCCTGTTGGGGTGAGAAGAATACTCTGTTTCAATAGTTGTTTTATTAGTGATTCTTCTGCAATCGTTATAAGGGGTAAAGGATGAATGTTAATTACTTCTTATCGAATATTGAGTTTGAGTGCTATTTGTGCTTTTCTGACACGAACAATGACACGGCTCGGATGCAGTTTTACAAACAGATTGATGTATCAGTTTATCGAACATAGATACGGGTATGAGTGTCTTCTCTTCACTGACAATTACAGCCACACTCAGACTCACATCCACATCGCACACTCACACCCTCAGAATACGTTGTCAACATTGTCGAAACTTTCTGGGACAGTGCTGGAACCAAAGAAGCTATAACAAAAACGTAACAAAGCAAGACAAGATTAACATATGCAGGCTATTCACCAAGCAACCTTCAAAGGATTAGCATCATCTATTGGAAAATAGGATTTGTGCTATTTTAAAACGCTGCAGAGAAAATAAATTGTTATCTAAAACCGAATTCCTTTGTAAATATTCATTAAAGGCCATAAATTTTTTGTGACAGAGAACTGTTGACTGAGTAATGAGACGAAAGAATGCTGAATAAACTCAGTGTTTAAAACGTTCTGCTTGTACGGTGCAGGTAAGAGTAAAGATGAGTTCTGTAATATTGAAAGAGAAATAAAATAATTCTTCGTTCTATTCCTCTATGGTAATACGTGCAATAGAATAAGAGACGAATATTTATAATTTGGTACATCCTAAGGAGTATTAATAACTCATCACGAAGAGTCATTGACTTTGAATTAGAGAACGATGCCAACATCTTCTGATGATCGGTCAGTTGTTTTGCCGTATAAGTGTAAGTTTAATTATGTAATAACATAAGAATCAAAAAATAAACAATCGTTTTACTTGTCCACAGAGATACATACAATATCAGAATGAATGCATTCACATGAAAAAAGAGCGTCGAAGATATTTTTCAGACGCATTAGATTAATATAACGATTTTTTGGGTATTTGTAGTTTATTATTTGATATATTCATGGAAGAAATACAACATGAAAATGAAGGAAGAGAAGAGGAGAGGGAGGACTAGCCAAGAATAACTGATAAACAATACATGAACAGAAGTATTTATACGTATACGCGAAAGAGAAAGAGAAAAATTAGAATACAGAGAGCGATCAGTCACAGCGATAAGTGTGTGATCGATGAATTTGTCGCAATTAACAATATTCACATTGTATACAATATTTTGCATTAAATACACTTTTTTGATTACTACATTTTGGACAATCGCTAAAGATTCCTTGTGAAAATGAATCAATGACTTTATAATAGGATGGTGACGGAGGAGTGGCTGAGGCAATTGCATATTGTGAGTATTGTTCATTATCTAATGATGTGGTGACTTGTTCGAGATCTGACACAAAAATAGTAGTAGCTGAAGTCTCAGCAGGTGGATCCAATCCAATTGATCTCCAATCAATTGGTTCACGTACAGAAGGTGCTGTTGCTGGTGCCACTCTCTGCTGTTGAAGACGAAGTTCTATAGTCAACTAGGAAAAGACACTCTAATGCTTCTGATGAACATAAGTAGCTGTGAGTTGGCAGTAAAGATTTTGAAGATAGTAAGAACATCACTCAGTAAATGTGTACGTACTTTTAATCTTTTACGTGACACTCTATCGCCAATCTTTTCTATGATCCATTTGGCATAGGCTGTTTGATTAATAGTCATAAATTCTTCGTCTGCAATTGTTTGTATATCAGATTGTGATTTTCTAAAACGTTTCACATTTTTTGTACAATAAAATTCAACAGAGGCAGCAGAACAAGCAATCCCAAAGACAGTCACAATAAAAATTGCTGACCTGTGACAAAATAAGAAGAAACATTTCGTTAGTAAAATTCTATAGTTATCTTCAGATTTATTCATCTGATTGAATTCTAAGTTTGATTACAGTATAAAAATGAATAGCGTACTAATTGTACAGTCGTATCATCAGGAATTAAGTTGTTCATGTCTCTTGTTTATAATCATTGAATGAT